GATGGTTGATTATTTTCAAAACGTGGAGAATTTAAGAATATTCCACATAAACAAAAAGTTTTGGAAAACCCCACAGAGGACGAAGCATTTATTTTAATAAAATAACACTTTTTGTTGTTGTTTAGTTTAATTGAATAATTTTAATCCAATCCCAAGCAATGTAAACTGGGTAATATTTTTGTACTAAATCTAAAAACTCAGTTGAATACCAAGCATCACAGTAAGAAAAATCGATGCTTATAATCGATAGGCTTATATCTAAATAACTCTAAATAACACATATATTTATAATTTAGTGTTTATCTAATGCCTTTAGTAAAAGTTCATTTAAATTGGCTATTAAGCTATGTGGATCATCGGTAAGTCCAGCAGCTGCCATGGCATTCGCAAATAATTGTTCAGTGAGTAGACCAGCTAGTTCTGGATCAGAATCACGCAGTTTGAATAATTTCTTAATGATTAAATGTCTATATTAAGAAGAGGAAAAAAGTTAGAAAATAATACACAATAATTAATAAACATAAAGAATGAACTCACTTTGGATTAATCTCCAATTGTGGTTGAAGTATTTGGTAACGATTTTCTTCTGGTAATTGATGACTTTGTGTGCGTATAAAATGTCTAGCTGCACCCATTTCCTCAACAGTTATCACACAAGGATGATTATCAAGACGTGTGGTAACTTTAACATTGACTACTTTTCCACTTAATTTATTCGATAACCAATTACTTAATTCCGTGGCTTCTGTAGGTCTTAAACTATCTTCACCATAATCAGTTATACTCTCATCAGATTTATTTTCTCGCATTTCTTTTTCAACTGAAACTAAATTCTTTCCTTGGAATTGTCTTAGTTGCAATAAAACCAATTCATCGTATTGTTCATAGCAGAATAAAACTTCGACGCCACGCTTTTTGAGGCTCTCATAGTATGGTGAACATTCAGCTAATGTACGATTTGGTGCGGCTAAATAATAGATGTCCTTTTGTTCGGTATTATTTTTACAATAGTCTTCAAGTGAAACTCGTTTATCACCAGGAGATTTTGACGATTCGAAACGTAGCAGTTTGCCTATATTCTCTTTAAGGCTTTGATCATGGGTAGTTACTATGCCTTCTTTCAAAAATAGACCATAGTCCTTATAGAAAATCTCATAGTCCTCAATTTGTTTTTTGGAACGTTCATGTAAAAATTTTAATATGCGACTGACCAGCACATCTGATAATTTTCTGAAATATATAATATAACAGTATATAATATAATAATATATAATATAATAAAAATAATGCCATAGTAAAAGCAATTGGTTTAGACAGAGTTGTTCCAATGAGAGTTTTTTATCTATCGAAAATCAAATTGTTCAGTAAGAAGGTTTTGAGGAGGCGAGATAAATTTCCCCTATGGTATCACAACTGCTCTTGGTCTATGTAAGTCCTAGTACTTTAGGACTCGCAAGACTTAGGTAGAAGGGGTGGAGTAGGAGTTTAAATTGAAATCAACCCGGGTCCAGAGGGAGAAACTTTGCCACTTCATTTGGGTGAGTTCAAAGGTCGATTGGACGAAAGTTTGTATATACAATAAGGCCAGAAAACAGATAAGCTACGTCAGGGAGGGTAGAACTGGAGTTAGTGCACACGTGAGGAATACACTTGTTTATGTGTGACAAGTAACTGTTTAGCACGTGGCTATATCCTGATTTCAATTGAGCTAAGACAGTTCCTACTGCACAAGGAAAACATCTTTCGTCATCTGAAATATTAGGCGGGAGGCTATTGAGGAGCTTGCTATTTGAAAACCGGGATCATGAAGAAGATATGGCTTTGGGGGATGTTGAACGGCACTTGGTCGTTTTCGACGGGTGGCTCCGCGACGTAAACCCGGTGGTCTACAACAACAAGAGAATATTGTTTGGGTATGGAAGGGAGAAGCGTTTGCCTATAATTGTTTTTGTAGCCCGGGAAGATCTATATGGCAGATAATATGAAAGGAATTAGGTTGGTATATGGTTAAGTAAAAGCAATGTAAAGAAAAGAAGATGAGGAACGGATTAAAAATGGATGGAATTTTAATTGTGACTATGCTGGGTTAAAATGAAAAACATTAGTCACTTTTATGCGACGGCATTTAAGATCAATTGGGCTCAAATTGGTGTGTGCATTGGGACATGGATTCTAGAAGCGGTCACTTATTAACAATTTTACTAAATTTACTTCTTTAATGTCATCATCTATTAAATTTACGATTATAACTTACTTAATCAGTGAACTGTTTTGTAATAGTTCTCTACTCAAATTTAGAGGTATATCTTCTGAATCGACGACACCTGTATAGATAAATAAATATTTGAAAATATTTCTGAATTTTTTATAAAAAAAATAAATACATTTTTACCTTTAATAAATCTTAACCATTTTGGTAACAAATTGTCGGTTTTTGATTGAATTAGAATCTTGCGTGAATAAAGTGCAACACCTATATCTCTATCTTGTGCTAAGTCAAATAAGCCAGGTTTTCCTTCTGGGAAATACAGCAAAGCTCGAATGCTTAAAGGAACATCGGTCTAAAATTGGATATAATATTTAACATATTTAGATCTGAAATATTAAAAAAAATCCTGAAAATAATAATACTTACTTTATAGTGTAAAGTGAAACGTGGTGTACCGTATGTATTAGCAATGAAACGATAAAATTCATTATGCTGTTCTTGTTTGACATCCTTAGGTTCCATTAGCCAGACGGGACTTACTTCATTGGCGCGTAAACCATTTAAATAAATGGGTGAACCCACAAAGTTGCTATATTTTTTAATGACAGCTGTAAATCGAAATGAAAAATTAACATAGTATTTAAAAAAACTTAAGAGTTTTATTATTTTTTAAGATTATTATTTATTGTTTTCTGCAGAGTTGTAATGTGGGGTCTGTCAGTAATTTTTGATAGTTTTGATAGCTTATTAATCGATACTCAAATTAGAAGTTATAGGAATTACTTTAATAAGCTCCTACATTAAAGTTTTTGATAAGGATAAATATCATAAAAAATTCAACTGACTTTTTATTCCGAATTAATTTTCATTAAGTTCCAAACTTTAAATACCAGAGAAAGTATGAAAAGCCACCACAATAACTTATATATTAACATGAATGTGTTCATACCAGCTTCTAGTAGTACTTTTTATATTTATAATGCAGTTTCTTAGATGGTCTAATTTAGTTATAACATGAGATGAGATAAGAAATGCACTTCAGACTAGACTTCCATATAGGTAATAAAGAAAGATCTATTAATTCACAAAAACTCAATAAAATGGAGCTAGTGTAACTGTAGGGATTTGTTAAGAAGTGCAACTGTCGCGCATAAGTATTTCAATTCCCAGTTTTGTAGTACTATTAAGATCTATTAAATTATACGAACTCTACAGAATGGATGAAGTGCATCTGTAGGGATTTTTTAAGGATACTATTCGCGCATAAATGCTTTGATTAACACTTTTGCATTACTTCTTTACACGACGTTGCTATCTGTTCTCAGCTTTAATACTCATACTAATTTAAACCCTATTGTTCTTTACATCTAACCCATTAGAGCTTTCATATAAGTGAGCTTATAATATAATGTTGTTAAATATTTTAAATGTGGTTATCTCTTTTAGAGTTTCTGTAAAACTTCATAAACTAACCTTTAATACGTTCTTCATCTGAATACTCGCGACATTCTGGTTTAAGATGAATTACAATTTTAGTACCAAGTGCTACACCCTCAGCTTCTTGTATTTCATAAGATCCGCTGCCATCTGTCGACCAACGAAAACCAGGAGAGTTCTCCTTTGAGGATCGTGTAAACACTTCAACTTTATTTGCCACCATAAAAGCGGAATAAAAGCCTACACCAAATTGACCAATAATATTCGATGAATTTTCTTCGCTTTCACTTTTCTTCTTAATTTGTTCCAAAAATTGTTTAGAACCACTACGTGCAATTGTGCCCAGATTATTGATAAGTTCCTCACGTGTCATGCCAATGCCAGTATCCTATCGGATTAAGTAAAGAAACAATTAGAAAACTTGATTCTTAAAAAAAAGGGTTCACAAAAAAGGGTACACTTACTTGTATAGTCAACTTCATTGCTGGTTTATCGGTATGTAAGTGTATTTCCATAGCACGATCAGCATTTTCATAATCACTTTGCTCATCTCCAGCAGTTTGTATGGTGTAGCGAAATTTTTCCAAAGCATCGCTAGCATTCGAGATCAATTCACGTACAAATACTTCGCTTTCAGAGTACAAAGAACGGGCAACAATATCCAAGAGCATACGTGTTTCTGCTTGGAATTCGTGTTTATTCGCGTCTCCAATACCTTTTTCGGTGTCACGTATAATGTTGTGTTTCTGTGGCTCCTCATCCTGTTTGATTTCTTCAGGAGCGGCTGTATTTACTTGACGTACAAAATTAAAATCTGTAATGGAATATATATGAGGTACTCA